CCTGTGCCTGCCCAGTGCCTGTCACATCGTTACAGATTGGTGCCTGGGCTTAGGATTTAGGCTTGTTGGTTTGAGGTGCTTTTGCTTTGACTCATGGAACTTGCTCACCTTGGAAAGGGTTAACTGCGGCTCAGAACTTGTCAGAGTCAGCCCGTATGCAAACCCACAACAAAACCCAACCCAGTACCTCAGGACGTTAAGCTCAAAAATTGCTAGAGATTCCAGGGGGGTGTAGATGTGTCTTCGGTTTGAGTGCATTTAGGAGCGCTTTCCTTTATTTGTTCATCGGAGCCGCAGTGAGAGCAAAGTACCTATTGGTGTAGGGTTTAGAAGAACATGCACGGTCATCATGACACCAAGTATGGTTCCATGAGACCAGTGACAATCTTACTCTAGATAGCCCTATGCATGTATGTAAAATGTATGCACGGAGGCCAGACAGAGACTTCGTACAGTAATTCCCTGGACCCTAGAGCCCTGAAAGAATCGAACCCACACGGGAACCCTCGAAAATGCCACCAAAGAGGAAGCCTGAAATGCCTAGATTCCCAAACTCCTGGGTCCCTGAACCCTTAATTCTAAAACCTGTCTAGAACTCTTAAACGAGCCCTTCAAGTTTCAAGGAGCCCTAAAAGAACTCCCATACGAACCTTAGAGCCTAAGCCTAAGCCTTCAGCGTCTCCTGCAGCTGCCGGATGCGGGCCTCGAAACTTTCACCTTGGCGCAGAAGCTCCGTCTGCTTCTCCTGCGACTTCGAAGGGGCGGCTTTGGGGCTTGAGGGTTTAGGTTTAGGGCTNNTTCAGGGTTTTGGGGTTTGGGGTTTACGCAGGGTTTGGAATTTTGGTGGCTCCAAGCCTTGTAGAAAATGTTTACTCTTCTTCCACGCACAAGCGGACACAAGGCTTCAGGCATCCGGCTTGTGCTTCGAGATACTGACTTTTGACAGAATTCAAACGGGCTTTGTGGGCATAGATTGTGCTTCAACTAAAAAGTACCAAATTAGCCAGTGTCAGCTGAGCAGGCCCTGATGCAAAAGCTCCTGCGCCAAGTGCTGCGCCCGATCACGCTCAGCTTGGACTTGCTCCAACTCCTCTTTTACCCAAATTGCACGGAACTTTAAGAGTTGCTTGCACAAGATGATAACAGGTGCAGCTAACAGGATACTCCCCGTCATCAGCATGCGAACAGTATTCACCATGCAAGTCACAGTAACTGAAAAAAAGAGCCTACAGCTCTCTGTTTATGCAGGAAAATCCCAGAAGAACGGCGGACAACCCTAAGCGATGGCTGAGGGTTCGGGGTGTGGGACGTATACACTGACCCTGCCTGGGATAGAAAGCCTGTCAGAACGTGGTGCAACCTTCCAGGTGGAATCCCGGAGCCTTTAACCTCTGCACTAAACTTTACATAAACTCAAACACTGAATCCAATCACAACACCAAATCGAGTTGCACGCGCTTAGAAAGCTGAATGCACCCAAAGAACCCCTCGTCTAATCTCAAACGACCTTGCAAAATCCTAGCCTTCCAACACATAAGAAGCCCATACATATATATATATATATGTAAGTTTAAAAACCCTGGTTATAACACTCCGATAAGCCGATTTAATGAAAGTCCACAAGCCGACCAGAAGCCTCCTGACGCTGGCGCTGGAGGTTGGAGGTCGAAGAGCTGTGCTCCTGCTCCTTCTGCTTCAGGGCCTCATTCCGGGTTGAGGGCTTCTTTGTGGGATTGCAAGGGGGGATTGTGGGCTGCAGGTTTTTGGGTTTCGGGTTTGTGGCTGGGGACTTTGGATCCTCGCAACTCGGACACTTCAGGCAAGGCTCCGCATAGTTCGGTCTCCGCTGCAGAAAGTGACTGCTCATCCACCACCCGATAACTGAAAGAAACCAGACGACCCCGACTCGCAGTCACCCTCACCACTACATGAGAGGTTTGAGACATTATGATCGGCGAGCATGATGCTCGTGTGCCTGCAACCTTGC